CATTGACAACAGATTGGGGTGTTACATTCTCTGACCCCGGTGGGCATATGGTGTTTCTCTCATCCTGTTGGACCCTAGGTCAGTTGCAGGTCGCATGTCAAACCATGATAGATGTTTTCCCCCATTATTTCCTTTTTTACAACCTATGCATTCCTTTAGGATTGCAATGTTTACCTAGGGCCAGGAGATGGCTCTGCCCAGGCAGGGTCACAGAGGGTCACCTAGGCCTAGGCGCCCCCTTATCTTGGGGAGACACTCCTGGGCAGTGTTGATCTGGGGAATTAGCTCTTGCACTGTCCTGGGAGGCTTCCAGAGGCACCATGCAGGCTTTTTCCAAACGATTTTATCTAAAATAGTATGCTAAGATTCATTGCCCCCTAAGTCCACAAAATCCAAAATATTGACCAACTATTCCTGCACAGAAAGTGTTTGCCTTCCCCTGACTGAACTGTACTGTTGATTGGGTGGATATCTAGAGCCAATTTTGCTGATTCATAGAAGAGATTTATCACCATTCTACAATTCAACTTTTTACCTTGTATTTTTTTCACTGTCCATTAAACTTATATTTTCTGATTTTTCTAGCTGCCTTGATCTATGACAGTATGTTACCTTATGTTAGTCTTTCTTCTTTCCTAGTAAGCTTGATTCTATACACCTAGGTATACTTGTGAAAATTCTATAAAGATACTCTTGTCATGTATTTCATTTTTTATACATTAAAACCTTGAAAAGAATTGCTATTGTTATATGTGGAAAATAACATTCATTTTGTTTTAATAACTTCATCATATTTTGAATGTCCATGTTTTTGTCTAATTCATTTATGTTCTTCATAAGTAAGTTTATCATTCCTTATCATGAAAAATTAATTTTTTCTCTTGAGCTTATAAATTTATGTTTACTTTCCTTACTTTTAGGATCATATGGTAGTTTTTATTAATAGAGCTTTTACTTCATTTTGTTATGAGGGCAGTTTTCATTGTGTGAAATTGCAGGCTGGTAGTTATCCATAGTCCATTCTTTTTTTTTTTTCCATAATCTATTCTTCACTTATTTTACAACTTTCCTTACAGCTCTTTTTGTTTCCTTTTTCTTTCTTTCTTTTTTTTTTTTAAAGATAGGGTTTCATTTTGCAACTCAACCTGGGCTTAAACTCTTGTAGCCCAGGCTGGCCTCTAACCTGCAGTGATCCTCGATCCTATTGCCTCAGCCTCCTGAGTGCTGGAATTACAGGCCTGCACCACTACGCACAGCTTCTTTTGTTTCTATTAAGGAGGTTTCCTGTTAGACTCATTGATTCTCTTTGTAGATAATATAGTATTTTAGCACCTCAGTTAAGATTTTGCTTTTGCCCTTAATTTTCAATTACTCAATTATGCCTACATGTGATTTTAATTGACATTCTCTCACTTGGGAGTGAATAGCTATTAAATAGTAGATTGATGTCTTTCAAAAATTTCAAAAAAAATATAGCATTATTTTCAATTAAGATTTTTTTTTTCCAAATTCCCTGGTTATGTATATTTTGCCACTTCATGGGATCACATACAGCTTTATACTCTACATTCTAATTTGTCTTACTTTTGCTTCAATTGACTATATTTTATAAATGTATGTTTCAGATCCATAGTTCACCTCAATTTATTGATTCTTAAATATATTATTTTTTTATTTTAAAGAGAAAAAGAAAACAATAACAAAATAACAACAATGAAGACAAAAAGACCAAAACAATACAAAAAGAATAAAAACAATACAGGACTTCAAAATAAGATGATAGGAATTAACAATGGTTGATATATTACATATTATCTTCAGTGAAGTTCCTCAGGTTACCACATGCAAGAATGCAAGACTGATCAAACAATTAAAGACAATAACAAATAATAAGAAACACATTAGAAATGTTACACACCTTCATCAGACAAGATAGTAGGAATTCAGCAATGGCTGTTATATTGTATATTGTTGTCTTCAAAGCAGTTATTCTGATTACCAAGTATAAGCATGCTAGTATAACAACTATTGTTAATTTTCTTTTACCTAGTTTTGAAATTCTCTATAATTTTTTTGTTTTTATGTTGTTTTGTTAATGCCTATATTTTTGTTATTTTGTTTTTGATATTATCTCTTTAAAATTATATGACTTTATTGAGAGCTAGAATTTGCATTTGTTTCTTTGGTGAATTTTTTTCATTTTTATTTACTTTTGCTAATTTTATTTAGTTTTTGTGTCTGTTACTTCCTTTAAATGCTGCCATGGGTTTCATAGTTTCAATATTTTTATTAAATTTATAGAAGACGTAGACTATAATTGCATTTCACCATAGAGTCTTTTATGGATGCTCCTGTGCTATCAGAAAATGTCTGACTGAGGACTGTGTGGCGACTCTCGCCTGCGGTTCCAGTTGCTCAAGAGGCTGAAGTAAAGCAAAGACTTGAGCTGAGAAGTTTCAGTTAATAGTGGAGAGCACCAGGAAGACCCATCTAAAGGCAAAGTGGTAAACAGGAAAGCTAGTATACAAGCAGAAGAGAAAGATAGATTGATAGAAGGAAATAAAGCCTGACTTGGCTGATTTAAAGAAAGAGTGATATTGATAGAGCAAGAGAAACTTCAGATTTCTGGCTGTAACTTCATAATAAGAGAGGTCACTTAAAGTTCACTTAAGCTGGAGTTGATCCCCCACACACCCCAGTCTCCTTATCAACTTGCTTAAAAGCAGAGCAAAGCCGTACGTAAATCAGGAACAGAACAAACCGCAAACTGCGAACTAGGTTAAAGGCTAACCCACTATGGTCATCGGAATTTGGTTGTCTGACCTCCTGGGAGAATGGTAAACTTTGTGATAATTATGCGACATTCTTGTGAGATTCCTGAAAATGAAGTAATGATTAATATGGAAATCTGAAATGTACTAAAACTGAAAGTGAGACCCAGAGTGGGCACTGACATCTTCTCTGGCTCTGGGTTAAAAATGATCTGATTCATGCTTTTCTTGTTTTCTTGTGAGTGTCTTTCTCAATGGACTCGCCATATCAATTAAAAATAACTCTCCAGTGAAGGATTTGTCTACCTCTATTTCCCCCCTCCTGGTATCAGATAGTCTATGTTCGGTTAAGGCTGTTTCATAGAAGCAAATCTTCCACACTAGTGATTATTTTGTCAACACCTTGATGTGTACAAATTTTCAAATGATTCTGCTTGCTGTCTTAGAAAATAGACTCCTGCAACTTCAGAGTTCGTAAATTATCTCAAAGAGAAAATTTGAGGTTTGCTCAATGTGAAGCTCAGTATTATAGTAGCATAGTTTTTAGAATTGTGCTTTTATTTCCAATGGTGATTCTCTATTCATAGGTAGGGGTAGCGTTAAATATTCTGCTGATTATACTTCTAACAGCATCTTGCCTATTTCTCAGAATCAAAACAGTGGAATTTCAGTCCAGTTTTCCAAAATTTCTCCATCTTCAGAGTGTTGGTTCCTGTAATCCATTCTTTTCCCATAAGCATTATATTCCATTTGATAATGTCAGTTGAAATTTCTCAAGTGAAACTTAGTATTATTTAGAAATGAAGGAATTTTTTTTGAGCAAATCAGTATGCATGAGCACAAAACTTTATTAAAAAACTTTATATTAGATTATAAATCAATTTATAATCTAATGTTACTGAGCAAATAACTCATGATTTTGAAAAATACTTAGTCATCTATGTATAATCAATAAATTATTTTCTGTGTAGTTCAAACAAAATGCTATATTTGGAGAAGTTGTTGAAGCTGTGCTTTTAAGTCAGGAATTTTGATAATGTTATTCCTGATAATATTTTTAATATGATAAAACATGTTAAGATATAGACCCAGAATGTTCCCTCAAACTCTCACATACTCAGATGTGGAACTTTTGCATTGTCAGTGGATCATAGGGTCCCTCTTCTCATTGAGGTATTCAACCACTTGTATGTCAACAGCTGGGTGTGCTGTTAGAAGGGGGGCTCTAGTCAGAAGCTGGTCACTGTGTGAGTCTGGAAAGGTGTCCCCGTCTGTAGCTCCTCCTGTTTCTCTCTGTGAGATGAACAGCTCATGGTCTACCCAGGTCCTTTCACCATGCCGTTTCTACATTAGACCCAATCAACCATGAGACAATATAAACCTGACCTCTTTAAGTGGTAGGTATCAGATATTTGTCCAAGAGACTTGAAAAATGACTAAGAGACATTTATAATTATTTTCTAGACAGAGTAAATTTTAAAAAATGAGAAACATTACATAGGTGCAGAGCTCTAGCTGACATAATCCAGCCACTGCTATTGCAAATGACAAAGCATAGAGAAATGACACAAACTTCTTTGAAATGATCAACTATGCATGCATTTATTTTAGAAATAGCTAATTTTAAAACTTAGGTGAATAGCATAAGCAAAAGAAGTGGTCTGTGAGATCAAAAGTCATATATGAAGACAATGATATATGGTCTGGCACAGAAAATTAGTATTTTTACCCAGTTCAGACTAATTCTGGAAAAAAGCTTTCCCTCTCCTGTCCTACCTCCCCACACTCTTTCTATCCTACCTTCCTTTCTCTGTCTTTTTCACTTTGTGTCTCACAACACCAGAATCACACACATATGATGCATCGCACATGAACACATAAACACAGAAGCAAAACTGCTGATGGAGCATCAATATTGTAACAACAGAAATAAACCAATATTTGTTACAAAGTATAGTTTATTTAATAATAAATTTCTTTATATAAAAACTGAGTTAAAGTTGATCACATTTTATGTTATATCATATAGTATAGAAATTTTTCTACAAATTATCACATAATGTAGTTGATACTGATGAATCAAAATGACATGTTGCAGATTTGTTATTCTAGACAATTTGGTGGGTATAATTTGAAAATATTGAACAGTTTTTCCTGTGAAAATCATTGAAGATAATTCCAGTTAAACAGGATGCTATCTCCAGTAGGCTAAGAAGTTGTGGGAATTCCTCAGTAGAAGCCATAGGACCAGTATCTTCTACAGCACAGGGGGCGGCAACAGCCATAACCATAGCCACCATAGCCACCGTAGCCACCATAGCCATAGCCACAGCCTAGGCCACCATAGCCATAGCCCAGGCCACCACAGTAGTTGCCATAGTAGCACATGCTGTCAAGAGTGGACAGTTCTGTAGAGGAGTCGGAAGTAGGTTTCTTGAGTCTAGGTGTTATGGTCTGCCAAGAGCTTTTATACCTTCTTGGTGGTGGGTTGGGAAACCACAAAAAATGGAGTAATTTATTGTCTCAATAATATGGTTTTAACGACAGCATCATTATCTTATTGAGCAAACAAATGCCATAATGGATAGAGTGTTCTTTCTATGCCTGGAATCTATCATCTAATTATGAGCCTTTAAAATGAAACTTTTCTTTTTATCTTCAAGGCTGTGGTTCATTCTATACTTAGTTAATCATGGACATATGACTTGACTACATGTTATGATACAAATAATAAAAATAGTTATCCTACTTTTTTTATTACTTTTGTTTCCTTTACCACCTCAGGGATGTTTTTTCTTCCTTCCTTGCTTCCTTTCTTCCTTCCCTCCCTCCTCCTTGCCTTCTTTCTTTCTTTCGTTCGTTCTTTTGTTCTTTCTTTTTCTTTCATTCTTTCTTCCTTTTTCTTTCTTTTATTTTCTTTTTCTTTCTTTCTTTCTTTCTTTCTTTCTTTCTTTCTTTCTTTCTTTCTTTCTTTCTTTTCTTTCGTTCTTTCTGCCTTTCTTTTTCTTTCTTTCTTTCTTTCTTTCTTTCTTTCTTTCTTTCTTTCTTTCTCTCTTTCTCTCTTCCTCCTCCCTTCCTTCCCTCCTTTTTTCTTTTCTCTTTCTTCCTTCCTTCTCTTTTTAAAAATTTCTTATCAATAGTAACATTTTTCTTCATCCTTGTACATGATAAATAAACTAGTAACTTTTTAATTTTGGTAAAATTGTAGCTAGTCACCATCATATGTCTACACAGTGAACAATTCATCGCTTGAATAAACTACACTGATTTCTAGAAAACAAATTTCCATTTTATAGAAGTCCTATGCTTCCTTTTGTCAATCTGTATAAACATATTGTAGATGTAATTGTGAAATACACTGTGGTTAAGGTGGATGATCCATCCTTAAAACAGTCCTAATGTTGTGTGAATAATTTCTGCTGTGTAATATCCTAACTTACAGTTCCATCAACATTTCCATCATTTCTTTGGGAAATAATATTTTAAAGAAAAAATTTCACAACCAATTATTTACTTATGATCTAGAGCTGTTTTGACAAAACAGCGGCAGAATTGAGTGTTGAAACACTGACCAGAAGACCTGTGAAATCCAATGCATGACTGTTTTTTGCACAGAAAGTGTTTGCCTTCCTCAAATGATCTGTGAGAACTGTCATATTTGTTGGGTATACAACTAGATCCAGTATTGCTGGGACAAAGATGAGACATCATGATTTCAAAGTTCAACTTTGTACCTCTGTTTATCCTATTACCCACTAAATGTTTGTATTTTATGACTTTTCAGCTTCATTCACTTATGACAGTGTATTGTACATGTTTATATTCCTTCTTTCCCAGAAAGCTTCGTTATGCAGAGCAACATACTTTTGGCACATTCTTATCACGTGTGTCATTTTGTGTATTAAAACATCAAAAAGAATAGTCATTGTCATATGTGAATGTCAATATGTATTTTTATTTTTATTGTTTTAAAAATTTTGAATGTCCATAATTTTGTTTGAATCACTTTCTTCCTAAATAATTCATTTTTTATTGTTAAAAATCATAAAAAATTCTCTATTTTTCTTCTAACTTTTATGTTAATTTCCTTTACTTTTAAGACAATGTTTTATATTTACTTAATATACTTTCTCACTTAAGTTCATTATATGGGCAATATTGAGTGATTAAAATTGTAGATTGATGATTACCTATGATTCAGTCTTAACAATTTATGTTTTCTTCCCTCTCTCTTTGTTTCTGAGGATTCTCTTTGCAAGTAACATATTTTTTTTTTTTTTAGGTACTTCAATTAAGTTTTTGGCTTTTATTTAATTTCAGCTACTGAGTTATTCTTATATGCTATTTTTATTGACATTATTTCTCTTGTCAGACAAGATATTTTAGAATCTTTGCACTGATGTCTTCAACAGTTTTGGAAAATTGTGCAACATTTTTTATTCAAAAGTGGTCTGGTTTATATTTTTTTTGCTGAGATCATTTATATGTATGTTTTGCCATTTCATAATTATCTGACAGCTGCTTTATATTCTGTTCAGCATTTTGCATTATATTTTTTTCTTTTTTGTTAACTAGACTTTGTCAATGTACTTTTCAGTTTAATAATTCACTTAAATTTGTTGATTCTTAAATGTGTTATTCAATTTTTTGATTACTAGAATATACCTATGTTCTATGGTGAATTCAAGCTATTTAATACATACTTTGAAAATTTCCTTTAATTATACGTATTCTAAGATTTTCTCTCTGGAAACTTCAGTACTTTTTATTATGTTTATGTAGTTTTTGTCATCTGTTACATTTTTACATACTCTTCCACAGAGTTTCATAATCCCAATATTTTTATTAAATTATAGATAATTCATAATAATCTTACATTTCATCATAGAAATATTTATGATTTCTCCTTTCCTGTTAGAACATGTCTCACTGTCTAATAGCAGTGCGTTTGGTGACCTTGTGTGTAGTTTTAGGTACTATGGAGCTTCACTCAGACGATCATTTGAGTTCAGGAATTTTAGTCTACCTTGTACAACAAAAACAAGATCCATCTGAAATAAAAAATATAGCAGGCTAGAATGTAAGAGAGAAAGAGAGAGAAAGAAAGAAAGAAAGAAAGAAAGAAAGAAAGAAAGAAGAAAGAAAAAAGAGAAAGAAAGAAGGAAAGAAAGGAAGAAGAGAGAAAGGAAGAAAAAGAAAAGGAAGGAAGTGAGAGAAAGAAAGAAAAAAGAACAAACAAGAAAGAAAAAGAGAAAGTCTGATTGCCATAATTCAAGCAAAAATTATGTAAAATAAAGTTCCTTGCAAAAATCTATTTACCCATGTTGGAGCCACCATATAAGAAATCCTCCTTTTTCAATTAAGGGTACTGGGCTGGGGATTTAGCTCAGTGGCAAAAGCGCCTGCCTGGCAAGCGCAAAGTCGTGAGTTCGGTTCCCGGTACCGGAGAAAAACCAAAAAAAAAAAAAAGAAAGAATCAATTAAGGGTACTTTCTCTCAGTGAATTCTGAGCTGTAGTGGTTATTTTTCATCACCTGATATGGACAATATTTCTGAGTTTCAAATAGTTTATACTGTTTGCTTATAAAACCAATTGCTGCAACTTTATAGCTTTTAAAGTATCTTATTGAGAAATGGTGGTGTGTTATGCTCAGTATTTTAATAAAACCTCGGTTCAGGATTTGTGTATTTTTGTATATCCAGTTGAGTTTTGATAGCTTGAGTTGGAGGCAACATCGAAAATGCAGCCTTGTGCATACGTCTTAGAATGAAAAGCAGTGGAATTTCACCCTACATTCAAATATTTTTTTTGTCATGAGCATATTTGTCCCTTAATATTTCCTTTTCACATTAGCATTTCATAGCATTTGATGATCAGCTAAATTTCCCCAAGGGGAACCTAATGTCTTTTAGAATGTAAGCAAGTTTATTTTGGAGAAAATCAAAATATATGAACACATGTTTGATAAGGATCAGGTTTCTAGGTTAAAAAAATCTAGTTTTAATTTGTTACTGATGAAATATGATTTTGGAAATAATCATATTTTATTTTAATTTTATATTCTTGTTTTATATTCTTCCCATCTTTCATCTAATCAAACTCTGCCCAAATAAAGTTCCTTTACCATTATTATGTACAATACATATAATATTTTTAAAATATTAGAATGAAGTGGTATGTTTTGATATGGTGTTTGGTGTGTTGTTGGTGAGATAGAATGTTATTATTATTGCTGACATTTTCACTGCAATATCTGCGATTCTTTAGATCTAGAATGCCCCCTTAACTTGTCACACTCAGAGGCAGAGCTTTTGGAAGGTGATTGGATCATTGGGCTGCTGGACTCCGGGTATTTGCACACTAATGATTTGAGGGTGCTCACTGAGCCTGTGACCTGGGAAAGTATTTCTCCCTTCCAGGCTAGTTGTTTCCCTTTTTTGCTTCTTGGCTGCCATACAATGACCAGTGTATTCTCTACCCAGGCTTTCTCACAGCGCCATGTCTGCTTGGTGCCAGCTGACCCTGATGCAAAATAAACCTCTCCTTATGTATGTTGTGGTATCAGGTATTTGGTCCAAGTGATGTGAAAATTGTTTAAGATGACAGCTCTATTCATTTGTTAGTCAGAGTATTGTTTTAAAAGTGAGGAACCTTTATCAGAGGTACAGCTCTAGCTGATTTATTCCAACCACAGGAGGTGCAAATGCCACAAAGCACAGATAAAATTTTAAGTGATAAGATGCAAATACAACTATTACTGTAGAAATAAGCATTTGAAACCCTTAGATGAGCACAAGCAAAGGCCAATGGTAAGTCAGATTAAAAGATGTATAAAAATTTATATAATCTTTGAGAAAGAGTTGATGTCTTTCCCTGTTGAGGTTAGACACCCAGTTATTTCAAGAACTTCCTCTTTCCCTCTTCCCCCTCCTCCCTTCCTCTCTTTGCTTTCTATTTCTCCTCACAATATCACAACTGCACACTTGTGACTAATGATACACAAACACATAAGCAGATCTCATAATGCAAGAAAGCAGTAATAAGGCAATATTTTTGTTGAAACATAGTTTATTTAATAATTCATTTTTGTATGCAAAAATTGAGCAGCAAATTTGATAACAATTTATACAGACTTGTAATGATAATACAAAAGCTGTTGTGCACACCATCACTCAAGACAATGGATACACATGAATCCAAATCACAAGCTACCTTTGGTTTTTTTGTGTGTTTTTGATAGCTCAGTATATTATTTTTGTTTTGAAGACCTTTAATCATTTTTCATTTGAAAGAAATTGAAGACTGTTGTAAGAAAACAGGAAGATATAGCCAGTAGGTTAGTAGCTGTAGGAATTCCTCAGTAGAAACCACAGTTCCAGTATCTTCTGCAGCACAGGGGGCGGCAACAGCCATAACCATAGCCACCATAGCCACCATAGCCACCATAGCCACCATAGCCACCATAGCCACCATAGCCATAGCCACAGCCATAGCCACAGCCTAGGCCGCCATAGCCATAGCCCAGGCCACCATAGTAGCTGCCGTAGTAGCACATGTCGTCAGGAGTGGACAGTTCTGTAGAGAACTAGGAAGTAGGTATATTGTGTCTGGATGTCACTGTCTGCCTAGGGTCTTTTATACCTCTGTGCTAAACCTCAGGCTGGGCAGCATCATACTATTTCACCAATCAGCTTGGGACAACGTCATGAATGACTTTATTTATTGAGAAAACAAGGCCTTCATAACTAAGATTTTTGCTCCAAAGTTTGGATTCCATGATAAAATTACAGGCCTTTAAAGTGAAACTTGTCCTATTTTCAAGACTCTAGTCCATTCTATATTTAGTTAAATCTGTACTTATGACCTGATCACATGGTATGAGGCAATCATGGAAATATGAATTCCAGTTTTATTTTCATTGTGTTTTATTTTAATTCTTGTGCAGAATCATTTTCATTTTTCTCTTTTTCCTCTCTTCTTTTTCTCTCTTTTCTCTCTTCTTTTCTCCCTTCTTTCATTGCTTCTTTTCATCCTTTTCCCTTTGTTTACTTCTCCTCCCTTGTCTTCTTCTTTCCTTTCCTTTTTTGAAAAATCTGCCCTGTAACAATTTATTTTCTGTATCTTACTCATGACTGCTGTGACACTTCAGTAACTTCGTGGTGAGTAACTATCATATTGGTACATTATGGGTATTTAATCTGACCTTATTACTTGATTAAATGTTTTCAAACTTCCCAGAAAATGAAAGTTTTATTGAAAGAATAAAATAGTTTATTGACAGAAAGTCTTATATGATCTGTGATTATTTATGTCTCTCCATGTAAATGTTTTGTAGATGTAACTGTGACACAGATAAGATTACTTTGGGTGCTCCATCCTCATTTCTTAGGGGTTTTTTCTAGTCAGGTTTTACTTTTCATCTCATAAATGCATTCCTGGTTCAGGCATGACATTTCTCTTAAAAAGTGTGTGACAGTAAGAGAGGGATCCAGGAAGCATGGTCCTCTTGTTTGTTCCTACAGATTTGAGGTGTTAGGTGAAGTATTACTGGAAACAGAGATACTCAGTCATGGATCTACCTCTCTCATTTTATGTAAAAAAATTTGCTTAAATTTATTAAATGTAATTTGCTTAAAATAAATGAGACTTATTATCAGGATACAACTCTCTGAGATTCACAGTCAAGTAAATCAATATAACCAGGAAGTTAGCAGCTGTAGGAATTCCTCAGTAGAAATCATAGGTCCAATATCTTCTAAATTATGTGTCATTATCTAAATTTAGGTACTTGAGTGTTTTAACAAGGATGAAAGATTTCCCTCTGATTTTACAGTTGCTGACCCAAATTTCATCTGACTTCAGAAACCCTACCCACGCTATACCTTATTATTACTGAATCCTGAAACTATTCATAAGTCTTTAAATATGAAAATTCTTTCTTCCCCAATGGTCTATTTTTGGATAGGTTTAGATGTCTGAGAGAAATTGTCATATATTGGTTGGCCTCTCCCAACCACTGAGTAGATACATATTTGCCACCAATCATTTGCCAATCATTTTTAAGATATTTTGTGATGTAAAGTTTATCATTATCCTCCTGTCTCTTACTAATAGTTTCTTGTCCATAGCTGAAACATTTCATGAGATGAAAGAAAATATGGAGAAACCTCCAGTGATGTAAAAAAAAGTGTTTTCTTTCTTTTGAATTAAAAAAAAATTCAGTAAGTAAAATATATATATATAATTCTATACATTTCTGTATTTTTCAAATAAGATAGATTTTTAAAGCATGCAAATAATGTTTCATATCTATTGGTCAATAAGAGTTTCATTAATACTGTTGATTTTTAAAATATTATGCCAGAATAACTTTCAGAAATGTGTTTATTATTATTAATAAAATAGAAGGTCCTTCATTTAACATGGCATGCAATTGCATTATCTTCTTGTCATTTACCAGTATCAGGGGCCACCTCAAGAAAAATCAGAATATGTGAGAAGAGTTTTGCTGGATTTCAAAGGGAAAAGTTGAAGGCATCAGATGTCAGTGGTGGTAGAAGAAGGACCCAGGGACTCAGCACTTTGAATACTGTTGTGCTGATCTGATGGACAGCACATCCTTTCTACAGAATTTTAATATCAAACACTGGGTACCCAGCAGCCACCACACAGAATATTGAATCTTTATTGTACCTGCCTCCCATGACACGACATGTAGATAGCTTCAGGTGAGGATCAGGCAGCAAATCATCTCCTACCTGAGACACAGTGCTGAATATCTCTGCCTATACGTAGGGTACTGATACAAAGAAAGATAAGTGTTAACATAGTGATAGGAAAAAGGGATTAAGTTCATGGACACAAGTGTCATTGAGAAGTTTGATATATGAAATAGTCGATTGTCTGGCTCAATGGAGCAGTGGCGCCTGTGTCACATGGGAGCGAATTATATGACGCAAGAAGAAAATAATTCATATTTGGATTCTTGTATTTTAAGTAGGAAAAAAACTTCAGGAGACATTGAAGACAGTGTTATTCGTTAGTGTTTACCTTTGCCTCTCTGTTTCCATGTCATCCTATTTTTCTGTCTCAGTCTCTCTCCCTCTGTTCATTTCTTTGATAGATGCACAAAGAGAAATGCAAAAATCATGGCGAAAAATTCAATATAATTACATTGAAGCACAATTTACATGGTCTCTCAGTTTGTTAACCATGAACTTTATTTTTTTTCTCTGGAAAAGTGAAATAAGCACAAAGCCCTCTGTCTGTATAGATTCCTCATCCATAGATTCAACTGCAGTTGGGATGAAAGCATTTTGAAAAACAATGCACCTCTACTGAATAATACACATTCTTTGTAAATCAGCCCTAAACAATTAAGAATAACAACTGTTTTATAAAATTTACATTGTGTTATGTTTTATAAGTTACCTACCAATGATTTAGAGTACATGGGATAATTTGTAGGGTATGTGCAAATGCTTCACTTTTTCATATAAGACTGAGAAGGCATAGGTTTGGTATCCTCAAGGGCTGTGAGTCTGCCCTCAGAAATGCTTTTAAAAGGAAGAATAAGATTAACAGGAAAAGTATAAAGGATTTGTATACACAGTATTAAAAGATAGCCCACTGGTTTTAGTTATTCAAAATGGAAAATGCTCAAACTGAATACTTTTTTCTCAGTAGCCAGGGATGAAGTTCTCATTTCTGATGTGACTATGGAGGCGATGTAGGAAACACAAAGTGGATAAACCTTGCACTTTGTGCTGTCAGGAAGAGCCCTGATAGAACCCCCAGAACCCGAATACTGTGCTGCAATTATTGGGTATAAGCAGTGTGCAGGCTTCACAGTGGTTTCTATTATGGCACCTGGGGGCAAAAGTTGAAAGTTCAGTCGAGTAATAAAGACTGCTTTCTCAGAGTGAGTGTGAACAACCAGAGAGTGCTGGATCTTTTAAAAATGCTCTATTGTTGGTTGCAAAAGACATGAGAAGTTTTGTCCCTGTAATTCATACTGTCCCTCAAGTAAAGTACCATCAGTCAACAGATAGGTGAATTATTGTATTTTTACATGTAATGTATTAATATCTTTTCACTTGTGTTCTGAAGAATTTATGATTTTTCTAATGAAAGACATCTTAGTTTGCCCCAGTTTTGTTCAGTTATTGAGTTGTCGAAGTGAACTCACCATAATTTACATCATTTCTGCCCTAGTTAAGGAAGTTTGGAATAAAGAAAGTGTGCCTAAATCCAATTTTTCATTTCTCACACATACAGATTCCCTAAGTAGTGTGACTGCACCCAATGCAACCCTTTGACAGTGAGAATCTGTGTGTAGGTGTACATAGCTTCAATTTCTCTCATATTTGCAGTTGGATCATGAAATTCATTTAAATTACATGGTTTACACTAATATGACATTTAAGCAAATGTCAATGCAGATCATGCTGATGGAAAACAGTCATGTGCAAGACACTTTTGATAGAACATATCATATTAATATCATTAGTGAGATGATACTCTCTAATGTGATCTGTCTCCTCATTATAGCAATCTGTGCTACAAGGTGGCTTGCAAACTTCAAAACAGCTGCCCTCCTCTTTGAATTTACCATTACTTTGTTGTTCCTGCAGTAAAGTATCTGTTCAAAGTGTGCAATGAGTCTGACAAGCTCAAGGGATTCTTGTCTTTCTTGACTGTTATCTGAGATTTATGCTTTGTGAAGGCAGATCGTCCTTTAGAGGAATATATGCTCCAGGGGTTTCCTTAAGATGAATATTTAAATGTGGTGGAGATAATTACTTTCTGGTCCCTTATAGATTTATATGACAAAGGCAAAACAGTTTATGAACAAAAAGAACACAACAAAGTGTTTTATTGACTGAAAGAAATAGCATCATTAGGTGGAAGTAGAAGATCATCATCAAAGCAGTCTGCACAAGTGGACTCTGGAGTTGAAATGTAATTCTGTTCTATTTTACTTAAATTTTAAACATATAGTTAATGCCAGTCAGGTCTGAGTCTCTCACCAGAGACCAAAATACAGTTATGAATGCATGAATATAGTTCACTGAATAAAATGTAATGCTTACTGCAATCCAGTGATATTTCAGGGCTGTAGGTTATCTTCTGTTGATATTTTCATGAAAGGACGACATGGTTGAAATTGTAGAAGGGGGATTTTTCAGAAAGATGTTTCTGAAGGAAATTCACAGTGGAAGAGAATGAAATGTTATAATCTACTCTATCTGGACTTAAAATGATTTATCATATTATCTTCTGTTATACAAAAGATGATCAAAATGTATATTTAAATCAAATTTATTACATTAAAAAATACAATGCCATTAATTCCTCTCAAAATACTTCCATCGTCTTTGAACACAGATGTTACCTCATTTTTGCTACTTTCTACAGCAGTTTTAGGAGTCCTTTTTCATGAGCGTCTTTAGGAGATGTGATATCAAAAATGCACAGTGAACGCTGCTACGTAGTGACATTTTACAGAGGGCAGGCTCATGAAAACATGGTGGCATGTCATTATTTGCCTTATTT